TCTCGATAAGCTCTGTGAAAAAAGATTCTTTGTAAAGCCGTGCTTACCGTTTTCAGCAGATGACGTCGAACTCACCATCAGTTTGCCAGTGTCTGCGCTGCCACTGCAGCTCAAAACTCACAAAGAAAAAAGAAGCGAAAATTCCGAATCCTATCGGGATCGTCAGATATTGGCGATAGTCTTGACGTATCAATGATCGTGGAATATTATGAAAGACTTGCGGCCGACACCTGGGAAAAAACAACTCAGGCTCACACTGTGTGTGGTGGTCGTCAGAATGATCGCGTGATATACTATGCAATCGAACAGGTCATAGTANGAATCCTATTGGGATCGTCAGATATTGGCGATAGTCTTGACGTATCAATGATCGTCGAATATTATGAAAGACTTGCGGCCGACACCTGGGAAAAAATAACTCAGGCTCACACTGTGTGTGGTGGTCGCCAGAATGATCGCGTGATATACTATGCAATCGAACAGGTCATAGTACATAGCTACAGCTTGATTGATAGGTACTGAGTACATTTGCAATCAATTTTCATCGAGGATGACATATCCAATTGTTCTCGACTGTTGAGCAGACGTGAAAGATCGGCTCTTCAACGGACAGCTCTGTGTCTAGCACATTATCGCACTTTGCTGCTGATTTCCTCATTTCGATCTTCTTTCTGAGTTCTTTCTTGGATCTATCACTTGGCCATCTATCAAAAGCTCCTATCGTTTCCATTCATCGTTAAGCTATTGATGGGTCAGGTACGGACACTTCTAGTAAAGTTTTTCTGTCTTCAGAGCCGATAATTTGTTTCCGGGTAACATAAAATGAATGGCTTATCCTTGAAGAAAAGGAAGAAGAGATTACTGCCATTGAAGTAAAGGGGCTCTGGGGCTGGTCAATGCCCTCAGGTGGGAGAGCCTCAGTATCCGACTTCTACTTAGTATCGAAACGGCTTTTTGAGCGTGTATGTGGCCTTTGCAATGGCTCTCGGCAGCCTGCCGATAAACAGAATAGGATTCTTATGTCCTGCCGGACGAGCTGGCGTCGACCAGTAGATCCCGGATTTGTTCCCCAGAGCATGCGGGTATGATTAGTGCGGCACTTCCCGATATATCCAATCATTGCCATATTTTGCCTAAATTGAGATCAGATGGTCTTCGACTGAATGAGCTGGGGCACCACTAAAGAAGCGTATGTCCGATGAAGCCGATGAAGGATGGGCCTCGGCTCATAAGAAGGAATCTTGGGCAGATCAGTCTACTAAATTTTTTGAGTTGTGATGAAATGGAGAACGATGGCGCATTTATGTTACTGTGATGATGCCTTTTCTGAGGCCCTCCCATATGGAGTGTATAATACTGCCCATTCCTCGACTGGAGTGGAAGGCAATGTATTATCCATCTGACTTGTGTCACAGATTCAAGAGACATTTGAATGCATATTTAGCGACTTTTACTGGTTTTAATATACATATTATGCGCAACAATAAAGTTCGGGTGTGGTGCGGTAGGAACTAAATTATCGCATCGCGGCGAGAGAGATGTCGCGCGCGAAGGACTGTAGCTGGATGCAGCAGCAGGTAAGAAATACAGGAATAAAAGAGCTAACAGTAGAATCATGCCAAAAGTAATAATCGCATAGCTACTGAGCTGTTGGAAGAAGCTAGAAATGTTGTAACGAGTCGAAAGGCCCGCGACCGCAGCGTGCGGCCGATCGATTACACAAAACCGTTCCGAAAAATAGTGTTTCTTTTTATTCGGATCGAAAAGGGTGAATCTCATGCCATCGCACTACCTGTTAAAGAGCTGAGTACAGGCGCGCTCACTGGGTGTGTATGATGGGAATGCAAGGATCTATAACAAGGACAGTATCGAACTGATCTCCCCAACAGCTTTGAGTATGAGTACGACAAGTAGGTAGATAAACTAACTATAACTGCTTGCAGGTGGTGGCTCCCCAACTACAAAAATCTCAATCGGCTCGGGGCCTTTTCATTGAGGACATATGCGCCACAGAAGGTTACGCTGGTGATAGGTGAACCATTTGACTCCTAAAACTTTGTATTCCTTTGAAGTTTGACTCGTCCTCTGCAATGCCGCAATATAAACTACATTCACTTCACAGGTTATGGCTCATACTAGCAAACCAAGTTGAGGATCCTGTGTGTTTGTCATTTTCACTCGAAGAAGAGGGCGTCCCAGCGGAGGAGGTTGTACAAAGAGAAAAGGTAAGCTGTTACAATTGAGGGTTGCCTTTTTGCCCAGCCACATTTACCATGGCTGGATGTTAATGACAATGTGTATGTTGTTGCTGACATATGGATTATTTATTATTTACTCTGTAAATTCTATGAAACAATAATTCCTTTGACAAAATAGTGACATCAATCAGTGCGCAGATCGAACGCTTCTTGTTCGGGCGACCTCATACGAGCATTATACTCTTTCACGACTCGCAGTGAGCTTTGGGAAAGACCCGAAGCATGTCTGTACTAAAAGGTCAACAAGCAAATCTACCACATGCGACAAATGCGCGGCAAATGTCACGAGCGATTTCCTCTCCCCGTGACTCACTCTACCGCACAATTGCGCTGCGCTCGGCACTTTTTGAGTTCGGGCGACGCAGGACCTAGCAGTGCATAGGGATGATGTGAAAGCTGATGTTCTCTGAACACATGCCACACGACCCAGTTCAGGCCATGAGACTCGAATTCGCGATAACTTGCTCTAACTTTGGCGATGGAAGAGCTAGGATTGTGGTCAGTCATGAGTTGTGTATTCGACCCTTCCACGTACTTAGACTTCCTGCCGTCTATGTCTTTTGAGCCATGTGAATAAAAAGTGTCGAATGGGAGAAAACCAGCTATAAGTAGGCAATCTGGAATAGGGTCGCTACTACCACCGCCATCCAAGTATCCACTCCAGGACTGAGATATGGTCAACTACGAAGTAGGTTATTCTACAAGTTGACAAGAACAAGGAGAATATTCTCTAACTCTCTGGCCACATCTCATACCGTATTGAGTTATCCCTGCCTTTACCTCCTTCCGGAGTTTCTCTCGAGGTATCTGGTAAGACGAAAGACAGCGACTTGTTCGACAGGAGCCCACGTCAAAGCACTATGCATCGCCAACGTGGGTTGTTTTCGCTCCCGATGAACTCAACACTGTAACCAAGTGGGTACCTCAAGTGCAAGAGCGCCTGACACATGATTGTTCCACTTGTCTGTATTTAAAAATCGAGGATTCTGCATCCTCCAGAAAGAATGGCTAACATGGGATTTGGCTTGCAATGTGTGTCATATTAGTACAAAAACTTTGCATTTCTTTGAAAAATAGCTAACCAGAAGTTAGCACTCCTACCCTGTTTGTTATTTTTCACATTGTCATATCAGTGTAGGGAAAATGAAGTGTTTGTAAAGAGAAACAAGCCAAATTTCGTGATCATTAAGATTGCGAGGGTAATAATGTGTAAACGTTAGGTTTACCGAAAAGTCCTTGTAAGGTTCCCACGTCTTTCTTCTTCTTTAATTTTTTCCAACATACAATTGGAAAAATCATCATTTGGTCCAACTATTGGGCAGGGCTCGTCCGCGTTGAGCGGAGTATCTTCGATCCTTTATTATAAATTCTTAACCAATCACAGCTTCTAGCCAGATTCCTAAGGGAAGGGGCTCAGAGGGACAAAAACCTCATCTCCTTTTTTTTGTTTGTTCTCTTTGTTGGAACGCCCGTGTTACGGTTGCGGTGCCCCACTGGATTATTATAGTACTCGTACAGGATGAGCTTAAGCCTTTAGGTTTTTCTCTGAAGCCATGTTTCATATCCATATTCATCATTTACCCATTTTTTAAGTGTGGTCCTGAAGTTCAACACACAACATGAATTCATATGTATATCAAAGAACAAAGAAGGCAAATAAGATCACAAATTCAGGAACGCATCGCCAGTTTTCTTTCATCAGTAGAGTCGCGATAGTAAAGCGTTTGGGTAACAGGAAAATTAGCTGCGTCACGGGATTAGATCAGCTGATCGAGATTTTCACATAAAGAATGCTCTGTGGGTGTTATTTTCCGATTTATTGTGGATTTTCCTCAAAACAAAGGTCTTCAAATAAGATCACAAATTCAGGAACGCATCGCCAGTTTTCTTTCATCAGTAGAGTCGCGATAGTAAAGCGTTTTGGTAACAGGAAAATCAACTACGTCACGGCATTAGATCAGCTGATCGAAATTTTCATATAAAGAATGCTCTGTGGGTGTTATTTTCTGATTTATTGTGGATTTTCCTAAAAACAAAGGTCTTCGAGTAGCACGTGTTATGCAACTTTTACAATGATTGCCTCGAGAAAACGTCGGAAAATTGCATATGTTAGCAATTAACAGCTATGTGCCAGTGCGGATTTTATGGCTGTAAAACGTCGGAAAATTGCATATGTTAGCAATTAACAGCTATGTGCCAGTGCGGATTTTATGGCTGTTGTGGGTGGAACATCGGCGAATGTGCAAAATGGTGTTTTATAGCACACTTTATCTATTTTCGAAAGCGTTACGAGCACCCTCGATGATCGGTCGGGCAGTGTTCGTCTCCTTACCCAGACAACATATAAGCGCTTAGGCTGATTAGGTTAAGAATTCAGAATACTGGGTAAATAATTCAATTTAGAAATCTTGCATGACTTCAATACCTGACAAAATCAACCAATACGACATGTTCTAAACAAAAGAATGTTGTGGAATGTTTCCTTGATGTATTCTTTACATTGATAATAATCTTCTGGCTTGCAAAGCCTTAACGTGGAACTATTCATTAAACCACTGGGCTAACGTTTCGACGTAGTCGTTCTCATTAGAAAGCAGATTTTCACCGATAAAACCGCTAAAGTGGGTACATCGGCCTACTTTGAACCTCGTATTTGAAACAACCTCACGCGATCTCCCTATGGTACCCCAGAGGTCCCAATTGAAACCGTTATCATTCACTCAGTGATTTACGGAAGGATTATCTCGTTTGAGTACCAAACGATCATCTATTTTGTGGTTAGCACTCATTGGGTAGTCGAAAAATTTTTGCAAGCGGGCTTCATTGTGTAGCTACATGTGAAACACACATCTAACTGATGGAACCCCTCTAGTAGAGCCAGTTTTTTCTATACTCGGAGACCCATGTACGTAGTATATCGTCTCTCAGAACGAGCTGAAGGTAGCAACACACTCCCTCGTAGCGTGCTGCAGCCATTACTATGTAATATCAGTAGGGGAGAAGTATAATAATTTACTTTCACGAATGGTTTCAGCTATTCACCTTCACCGTACCTACACTTCCATTCACTCAAGACCGAAGTGTGCAACTGACTTTGAGGAGTCAAGCGTTACATATTAGTATCCCGTTCACATATCGAACTAGGTGAGTCGTCCGCTTCATTCTAACAAGCTTAACATAATATTCACATTGCTGAAGGCCTAAATCGGACAGCAGCAGTACTTCGCGATTTGAATGCCTTGCTGAATTTGCTGCCACTGGAGAGATATCCTCGCTCATCGTTCCTTTCGCTGGGCACATAGGTGAACGGGATGGCGAAGGGAACACGTAAGTCTGAATTTTTTCGTCTCTTTAAGGTTTTCTCCAAATGGATATACTACTGGATAACATGTTTAACTTAGCGTGTTGCATATATCAGCGAAAAATTCCCAAAGCTTTGCCCTGAAATTGCTGCTCTCGGCACTTCCGTCAAATGAGAAAGAAGGTAAGGCTCCACTGCCTAGAGTTACTAATGGAGTTCTTATAGTTCCTTTTATAGATGTACTGAATATCCGTAATACTCGAGGTCAGACTGCCCTTCATTGTGCCGTTCGGGCTGGGGATCCTGACAGCGTCCATTATCTGCTGAGTCATGGAAGCGGTACAAGAGTGCTGGACAATCACAAGAACTCCGTAACTAATTTAGTTTGAATGAGTTGTTGCGTTCAGTGATGGATAACCTTCAGGTGATCCACTATCTAGCCGACGCTTACAACGAAGCGATCTTCAAGGAAATTCTCGAAACACCAGGATCGAGCGAAAACGAGCTTGACGCTCTGAATGAGGAAGGATTCTCAGCTCTACATCTTGCTGTCAGAAGGTGATCTCTGCACCATCATCTAGATTCCAGAAACTACTGATCTTGGATGTAATCATGCTTCTTCTAGATTGAAGCTCAGCTTGATCGAACTGCTTTTGGAAGCTGGCGCTTCTATCAACGCTAAGGACAGTGCTGGCCGGTCCCCGCTCTTCCATGCTGTGAATATGAACGACGTTGAAATTGTTCAGTTCCTTCTCGGGGTGAGTTTTCTCAGCACGCGCACTCTTTTTCCAAGTCATTTTAATAATAACCCGACTTTAGCAAAGCTTTTCATTTTTGAACTAGGTCTTATAAAATTTGTTTATGTAAATGTGTTTTTTTAGAAAGGAGCCGACCCAAACGTTGAAGACGACAGTGGCGAAACCCCTCTGTTGTTGTGCATGAAGACGGCGAACTACGCAATTATGGGTCTACTGATTGATGCAGGAGCTGATCCGAATAGGAAAAATCGTAACGGAAACTCGCTTTCGGACAGTGATGATGCAACTGTTCAACGAATCATCGCTGGGGAGAGGTGGGAACAAGCTTCATGAATGTCGTTCTTCAGAGACGGACTCTGTCCGTCCATAATAACATGCAACAAGTTGCGGGGCACTGCGTAGCGACGCTTCCAGTTGCACCTTTATCATTGAAGCAAGAGATACCGGCAGGGTGAGCTCAGCTCAGCTGTGCCGACAATATCAAATTCGTCTCAATTTGCTAAATTTACGCTTTTTTCTCGGTCATTTCATATGCCTTTTGTTGCTTTTTGTTGAGTTATTGTTGTGGGTATCTAGAGATCGATAGGCTTACATATGATAATGATAGTTACGGTGCGAATTTTAAATGAATTCAAAAAGTATAAAGACAAATACGTAGTTAAAAGGGGCTTGTGTGCTATTATGACGACGGAAGCGACAAAGAAGAAGTATTTGAACGAGAGGTCAGACGCACGCAATAGCGTAAGGAGTTGGTCACAGGGTTTGCCTTGCGCTTCTTGACGGCATAGTACAAGCATAAAAACCAATTCCCTTGAAAAAAAAAAGGAAGCGTATGATTGCAGGTATTGCGTGAATGTAACCCGTTACTATCTTGGTGTCTCCCCCATAAGCGTACTTTTCATCCGCGTTCTAACTTTCCCCTGTGAATGGTGCAGCCTCAGCAAGGCCGCCATAACACGGCCTCTTTCGGGTATGTACGTCGGCGGAACCAATCCTGGAGCTCTTACTACGCTCTGCATAGACCTTTTTTCTGCCGAACTCCGTTCCATGCTGTCCTCGGGGGTCACAGGTTCATTTCAGTGGTGAATCTCGAATACCATTTTCACCATGAACTGCGTCTCTGAGAAAAAAAAAGAGAGTTGGTGTGAAAATGTCAACGCTGACTGGAATCCGTTTGCTCTACCAAAATTTGCTCCCTAATAATGAACACCGTAATCTACTTTGCGCATTCACACTACCAGCGTTTTTCCTCCTGGAGACATCAAGACGGCTGGATAGACATGCGCGCTTGTACGTAGCAAGACGACTTCCTTTCGTTCCCAAGGATAATATCCTTTTTCACTCTGCTAGAATAATTTCATAGAGAGGGTGGATTCTTACATTCTCTTCTAGTCGCTACGCTTCCAAAACTCATATCTTCTCCTTTTGACCGTTCGCTAGGTTAAAGGCACCGTTCACATAATTTTGGGTAATCCAGATTATGATGAAAAACGAAAGACAAGATCGAAACTAGTGCGACTGAGGTGAAGAAACTGCGTGCATCGGTGTTTCCATAGTGAAAAAATTCCTCGAAAAACCGTTAAAAAGGGGGCTGGACGTGAATGAAACCAGCAAAATGAAGAAGGGTGGGGCGTCGGGACGAGCTAAATAGTGTGTTTCACTGCGCGCATGTGGGTCCTGGTGCGAAGAACAGACAATGGTAAGCAAAAATTCATCCGTCATAAGCATAAATAAACAAAAAACCCTAGTAACAGCAAAAGTAGCTCACCTTTTTCAGCCTCTAGTAGTAGGAAATTAAATAAGGGATCGCGGCAGCAAAAAGAAAAACAGAGGAAAGAAGAATGGGAGAAAAACATCGCCTCATCACTCGGCGATTAGCTGTTTGTGCGTGGGTCCTAGAACGAATAATAGCAATCTGTATTGTCTCGACACTCGTCTAACGTGACACCGATCGAGGGGCGGAGGGCGACCGTGGATAACTCTCCGGCCCCTTATTGTGCCCTATCCAGCCGTTTTCCGACCTCATTCCTGCACAAATGGTACCAGAGGGGGCTTCGAATTCAAACCATGTGCAAATCTCCGAAACCACTTTTTCATGAACAGTGCCTTTAAAGACAGTCACGGTTAGAAATGACCGAAAATAAGTTCAGCTAGGATAGTGTCTCTAAATGAAGGGAGGAAAGTCAACCATTGCTTAAAGGTAACTTCACGAAAACTGCAATCAGTTTTCCATAAAATGCTAAAGATTCACATAACCCTAATTTTTTGCAATTATATGATGTGTTATTTTTATATAATACACCACAAGTTTCCGCATTTTTGTTGAGGTTCGTCTTTTTTTTCTCCATCCTGTCTTCTACTTCACCACGGCTGAATCATCTCATTGAAAATAATAAGAAGGAAAATTGGTTGTCTATTACTCGGGGCAAAAGTCTGTACCCCACATTCTCGTGGATGCGATGAATTGAGTAGCCATTGTCAATAGGAGTTATTTTCTGTTCTCTACTTTGAATTGTCCCATTCATTAACTTCAATTCTAATTTTATATCATGTAAAAGCTGATTTGCTCAAAGTGTACGCTAATGGTAAGAAGTGTTCTTGTTCAATTATCTGAGGCTGACATTATCGATCGTGACAATCAGCCTTACTTTTCATGATTTCGGATAAAATTTATTTGTAGTGAGCCAAGGGAAGAGGTGGAACTGAAAGAGGTGCTGATCCTAGCCGATCGAACTGCCCGTCCTTCAATATCATGACAAACCGTTCATTTCACATCATTTCCCTTTGCACAGCACATTTGCTTGAATTCTTCTATTTATAATAGCACTTTGAGAGGTAGCGACCCATATATGATCCATTTTGCTTAGAATGACATTTCAATTGAAACTTTCATTCATCTGCTTCGACTCCTTTTCAGTGCTCTAAAAACCTCTGTGTATGGACTGAAAGAAGGCATATTCTCAATGACATGATCTGGTTTTTATGGCTCAAATAGAGTAGCAGACTGCTGCTAACTAAGCAATCTGCAAGAAATCTCGAGAAAGATTCTATTTCGAGCAAAAGCTCCACATCATTCATTGTTATTCTGAAAACCTAAAAAAAGTAAGCGTGTGGTGTTGTCAATCACATTAGTGCTTTCAGAGTTGAACTGCCGGAAAAAGAGATACCTCCACCAGTACCATCTGACTTAACCACAACACGCTCGGCACTTTTCGGCAGGTCACTACCAAACCTTCATGGGAGTCTGACGGCACCTCCTGATGTGATAACTCCTTCTCCCCAGCGTTCATCGGTTCCGTCAAGAGCTCAAGCGCCAAGTGAACAGCAAAGATCACAACATTCGTATGGTTAGTGTCCTGGTCTCATTAATGGCGTCAGTTTTTGAAGTATGTTCATTTAGGCTTTGTTGAAGTTTTTTGTTTTTTCCAGATCGAGATGAGCGAGCATCAGTTGAAGATGGTGAAGACTCTGATGGCGAGTATCTGGACGATCAACCGTCCACCAGTTCCGGCAGCAGATCGCGAAGAAGCAACCGAATTAGTAGAATTTCCCAAGGTAACTATATTCTCATTCTGGATGGAGTAGCAATTTGAGACGATCGATTACAGATGACATTTCGTGCCTCGATTATTTAACACGATTGAGGCTTTCTAAATTGATGGACGAGAATTCGAAATGGCAGCAGCTGGCTGCGGTTCGTTTCTTTTTGCTTTCATCCATTCAATTGCCAATTCTGCCAAATTCATTGGACAAGCATCATTCAATTCATTTTCTCAAGTACGTCATCAAAGACCAGACAACTGGACCACTTGTTAAGCACACTTGAACTTGCAAAAGAGGCGCAAGTACCCATGGAGTCAGAACATATTGCTCTGTTCGACAAAACAATCTGATGTTGTCGGATGGATGCCTGCTAGGCACGTTTCGTAAAGCAGCAGCCACTCTCGTATAACCTGTCCTCATGGATGATAGATGATGTTGGCTTCTTGGAACTGCTTTGAGACGATTCCGAACGCAGTTGCAATAGTGGTGCCGGGGATGCCCTTCCGCTTTTCAACTTGTGCAATGCACTAGTAACAGCGCCTAGCACTCCTTTACCACAGCCTCAATGCTTCGAACCGTTCACGGAATTTACACCCTACAGATAAAGCTGCGCTATTGAATTTACATTCCATCCTGTAGGGAGGAAAGGAGATAAAAAAACAGAATAAAAAGGATAAACGAATTCCCAAAGGAGGCGGCCCAAACGCCCAAAACATGGTGAGTCCTACAGAGCAGAATCGTCCGCGTCCTGCGTGCGGAGCGTGGCGGCTTCGGTTATATGCCATATATTTCTCTAGCATTGGATTTCTAGATTGCACCTCATGGCCCCCTAGCTACCCCACCACCTTCCCC